AAAAAAAAAGTAAAAGATCTTACAGCATAAGCAGGCATTCTTAGGTTTTCATTTCAAATAATTCAGTAATTTAAAAGTTCTATTTTTCTTATGAGAGCTCTCATCTATGGGCACAAAGTAACAGTGAATAACTAATGAAATTTCAACTCATTTGACAGAATCATAAGAATTTGGCATTCTAAATTTTGGTTTTATTATAACAAACATTTGTACAAAAAATAATACCATCTTTGGGGTTATTATGCCATGCAGTTTACAACTACACAGTGTTACAGCTCAGAAGACCATACTCTATAGCTACCACTGTGAAAACCTCAAATCCAAAAATTTTTCTAATATCATTCCATGCACAATGCCTGTCCCTTCTCTAGTTATATGCAGCGTGATGTAAACCTGACAGACTTCAGCTACATGACAGGGTAACAGACAGGAGACTGGACAATGCTTTTGATGGTGCACACTTAACAGGTATTGTCATACTAGTAATTTTCTGGAAATCTTATTAATTGTATGAAAACACTGTAAAGACATGTCATGTTTATTTTTATACATCCCTGTAACTTTTATTCAAGTGAATGTTTGCCAAAATCTTCTGAAACAGACATTAAATAAAAAACAAAGAAGAAACCAAAGGAACAGATTTAAAATTTTGTGTATCTGAATGGCCATCTATGTGCTCAGAGGGCCTGGGTTCGATTCCCGGCACTACCAGATTTTCTAAGTAGTAGTGAGTCTGGAACGAGGTCCACTCAGCCTCGCGAAAAGTAGTGACTCTGGTCCAGAAAACTGAGATTAATGGCCATGGGAATCTGTTGCACTGACCATGCGACACCCACTATCCGCAAAAGTTGGCACTAATTTTGCTGACAAGTGGCAGCCACTTGATCAGTATAGTTCACTTGTGGACTAATAGCCATGGAGTTTAGCTTTTGTATCTGAATAAAGAGATTCTTTAAATAGGATAGCTAAACTGCATTGACCAAACAGTTATGGAGAGCTGATGAGACTGATGAAAGCATACCTTCTGATATCCAGCTCTTTAATGGAGTTATTGACATAATGAGCAAGACGAACATCTTTAGCAGCAGGTCTGCAGCCTTCATAATGATCAGCGGGGATGTCAGTACGTACACTCCTCAATGAACTTAAACATTCACGGGTTATTACGGTCTCCGCTAGAGGACACATACAATGACACCATGTACAAGGCATTAGTTAAAAATTCAGGATCAGACATAAAGATGTAATAAAAACTATAAAATTTCTATATTAAAATACAGGACAGAGTCATAAGTGTTATAAAAAGCATCAGAGCAACCTGTACTAAGCCTGTAGAAATATAATTTCCTGAATTCCACACAGCAGTGTCTTCCTGGAGAAGCTGAGGTTGATCAGATGGCCATTTTAATAATTATCTCTGAAGAGTAAAAATTATAAAGCTCTTCATTGTGAAGTTTTCTGCATCCCTCATTTGTAACAGTCATGAATGTAAAGACTGAAAATTTCCAGCCACAAAAACTAAACAAAAATACATGAAAATCTGAGAAGACTGTACAGATATAAGTTTAAAATGTGCTACTGAAATCAGTTTGCTTGCACTTTAAAAATTTCTGTACAATATTTCTTAATACAGAGAACATTCAAGTCCTAAGTGTATGTGGATGAAGAAGTACTTAAGTACACCAAGAACTGCTAGCACCTGTAAACTGAATTTATCTCTATTTATTACCTTCTATTTTCAATAACTACTGTAAACCCTAAATATGTAATCATACAAACTTGACAAAATGGATTTAAAAACAAAGCCAAATTATAGACGCAGATTATTTTCCTAGTAAACAACCCATGACTACTTAAGGAAAAATTTAACTGCATACATAGAAATGGAGCTGTTCAATTAGGTCATGTGCAGTTCACATTAGTTTTACTTATAAAGGTGAAGACAGGATTTTGCAAAACTAATATAAAATTGATATATCTTTACACTATGGTGGTTTAATGCATTAGTTTCGATAAGACAGTCTGGGTATGTTCTCACACAAGTAAATAAAACAACTGCAGTGTCAGGTACATGTGTTTACATTTGTTATAGTAACTACATAAATAACTTCATGGAACTGGGCCCCTCTTGAGAAGCCACCAGTTCTGCACCTATTCAAGAACTTCCCAGCATTTAGGGAACCCAAAAGTTCATCACCGTGTTCACAAGAGCTGTCCACTGATACCGCTCCTGGACCAGATCAATCCAGTTCATACCACCACATCCTATCTCTCTAAGATCCATTTTAATATTACCCACCCACCCACATCTTGGTCTTCCTAGGGGTCTCTTTCCTTCTGGCTTTCCCACCAATATCCTATATACAGTCCACAAAGCCCTGTTCATGATACATGCACTGCCCATCACATTCTCATTCTGATTATAATTGGCAAAGAGTACAAGTTATGAAGCTCCTCCTCATGCAGTTTTCTCCAAACTCCTGTCACTTCATCTCTTCAGTCCAAACATTCTCCTCAGCATGTTGTTCCCTTAAGGTCTGGGACCAAGCTCCACACCCATACAGAGCCACAGGCAAAATTATAGCTTTGATTATTCTAATTTTTGTTTCTAGACAGCAGACAAGAAGACAAGTTTCTGAACCGAATGGTAGCAAGCATTTCCTGAATTCAGTCTCCTCCTAATTTATTCCTGAATCAAATTTTTGTTTGTTACTGTCGTTCCAAAATATCTGAACTGTGCCACATTGTCAAAACATCTGTTAGCTACCTTTCTGTCACAAGTTTGCCCTGCATTCTGGTGACATGACAGCAGTATATACTTAGTTTCGTTTGTGTTTTTCTTTATTGTACCTATGTTATCACCCAGTAGATTCACATCATCAACACAGACCAACAGCTGATGTCCCCCAGATAATTTCAGTCCCACCTGGTTTTCCTGGACCTTCCTAATGGCATATTCTACAGAAAACTTGAAAGCCAGTGGTGATAAAGCATCTCCTTGTTTCTAACCAATCTGGATAGGAAAATTATCAGATAAATGTTTACCTATATGGACTTTATTATATGTCTCATTTAAACACATTTTACTGAACCTAACCAGTATCATGGGTACCCCCAAACACTGTAAGAATATTGTACAATACTTCCCTCCTAACAGAATCATAGGCTTCCTTGAAGTTTATGTACAGCTAATGTACTGTATCATTGTACTCCAATTTTTGCTTCAGTATCCGACAAACGCAAAAAATCTGATCAGTAGTAGATGTTATGTTGAAACCCATACTGATAAACTCCAGTAATTTCTTCTACATATGGACTTAACCTTGAGAGAAGTTTATTGGATAAAATTTTGTATGAAGTTGATAGCAGTGATATCTCACTACTACTCAGTTTTATTGCCCTTCTCGTGAACCGATATAATGACAGACTCCTTCCATTGATCAGGCAATTCTTCCTTATTCCAAATACTGAGTTTATGGATTTCAGACTATAATGTTTCACCTCCTGCTTGAATAAGTTCTGCCAGAATTTGATCACTACCTGGTGATTTACACCTTTCCAACTTTGCATAGCAATTTCAACCTCAAAAGGACTATGATCAGGTACTAACAGCTTAAGCTGTATGTATTTCTATCTGCCTAACATTACTGACCTTTTGTATGTACAACTGTCATGAGAGAACCTGCCCTATAAAAACTTTTTACATTCCATGTACCAAATTTTATGTCCCTTTTCTTTTTAGCTTTGGTCATTTATCCAAATAATCTACCCTGTTCCAAGGACCTTTGTGACATCTCACAAGCTTATTTATTATGGTAGGTGCTAGCCCAACCCCCAAGCTGAATGACCACCCCTTGTTGGCTGTCCATGACTGCTTATTTAATATATTTCCAGTTATCCACCATATCTGGGGGTGATCTCCATCCGCAACCTCAGGACACACTATGCTGTGGTGACAAGGGACACACCTAGCATGGCTAGTAAATACATATGATACTCAAATTCACCTGCAGATATTCATCATCACTATTTAACATGTTTCCAAAAATGACTACCAATATCACTTTATTTGTACATCTAAAAAGTATGCACATCACACTTCCAATTATAGTAATTCTCAAAACGATAAGTTCTCAATCCAGTGTGATCTACATCACTGCTCTGAGAATCAGAAAGAATTTCCTTTCCATAATGTGGCATTAAACTCCTTCTGAACATTTACAGCATCAAGAATCCCACATACCTAATATTTAAGTGAGTCAGTTCCATTTTAAAGATGGTACCACTATGTTTTCAGACAGTTATAACAGCAAAACTCCCATCTTTAATGTGTGGCTGTGAAATGTGCAAGACAATAACACGAACATTCAAACTCATGATAATAACCAAGTACGCTAGGCATTTATATAAAATAAAGGAGACTGAAGCACTGAATATAAATTACACGTATTACCTCCCTTCCTTTCAATGATCTTGACACATTTATCATCGTCTTCTGGGCAGACCTCACCCCAGTACCAAAGCCAATTAAAAGGAGTTCCACACCCGGGATGGGTGGATACACATCGGTAGCAATAGAGACTCAACGGAGACCAACCGGATGCTGGAATTAAATTTGCACATACGACATTCGAATAAAGAATACAAATATTTGTCTGCTTACAATAGGTTATGTTAGATGCCACACCCGACTTAACGCAATTATTCTAAATCTCAAAGGAAGTTACCTTGGGTAATCAACACTCCTAAAAATGTTACAAAAATATGTATTTTTATCATTTCTGCATAAATGTTAAGTAATTACATATGCAGTTTCTACTTTGTTGCAACAACAAAAACATCCACCACTGTTAACTCTTTCCTCACAATTTAATAACTCGTGTTCCACGGACGCTGCGCACGAATACTCAAACTACTCTTGTGTTTAAATTGTCAGCGTTTAACGAAACTCATGTTTCAGCTTCTGATCCTTGGTAACGATCACCAAACACCTTCACATACTCGTATTCTGTTGGTCATGAACAATGAACAATGAAGGTCATGAACGGTGATGACTAGTTCGAGATCGAAGTTCATCAAAGTAGCGAGTTGGGAATGCGAGGGAGTTATGTAGAAAGCTGTGATCGGTTGTGATTGTGGGATTTATTAGTAATATATTAAATATTATTATTATATAGGGTTATAGTATATAGCCCAATGTTTCGATATGTTTGTGGATTTCTTGTTTTCTATACGCCTTGGATATTTGGGGTAGGTGACAAATTCTTTTGGTACTACTAATTATTAATGAAGGCACATGAATTTGTGTTGAAACACACATGCAAGGGGATGATGGGATGTTACATGTGCGCTTATATTGAGGGAACAATATATATTAAGAGTAAAGGTAACTTGTGTTCTGGTATGCGACACGGTGTAATGTGGCAGAAGTGTGTCGACGTTTTAATGGAACTTGTTCATTCGTTTGATCATGAATATTGAGTCAACACGTTCCACCGAAACAGATAAATATTTGTCAGACTATACGTCATCACATAACAGAACACAGGAAATTCCCTAGTCATTGCATTGAGCCCTTAAAGAAATTTCACATGGATTGAGGATGTCAAAGAACATGATGCTTGACGTATTTTAACCTAAGCCGGATGTAGTAACTGACGACTGAAAAATTAGCATTTTTAGGAGTTTAGTAATTTGTAAGGTAAGGTAAAGTTGCCCCAGTACTTAACTAATTAAGCACTACGCCATGAAGGTGTAGGGGTGAGTGGATGTATAGATCCACGTTTTCTTGACCTCGGCACTAGTTGGAGGTGAGTGGTCAGGTTCACGCCCCTGCCGCTTTACCATCGGGGAAAGAGCCCCCGGTACCCATTGTGTAGAAGGTTTGGTGGACCCCAAAGCCGGTCTGAATGAGATGGAGAATTGAAAAATCCTGAACCTACCAGGACTTGAACTCTGACCCCTCAGTCGTCCAGCCAATAGCCAGCAGCTGTACTGACTGCGCTGTCCTGGCTCAGTAATTTGTAATGCCTACAGAAATAATAGGATCATCAAAACAATGTTGAGGTGGATGGTGTTGATTTTCTTTGTGTCGTGCATACATATCACTTAACAGCCATATTGGATGAGAAGAACTTTTTATTGTAATACAAAACAAAAACAAATGAATATAGATTACTATTACCAACATGAAGATTTTTACATTACTAGATTCTCAACAGATGGGACATACAAAATGTGTAGGAGGGGTGAGAAACCCCAAATTTTGGTCACAAACACTGACAAGAAAATACACTTGAAAGATGTGAATGTACATTGGAGGGTAGTATTAAAATTGATCTTAATGAATCAGGATGAGAGGTTGTGGACTGGATTAATCTGCCATAGAATATGGAACAGTGGAAGGATGTGAACACAGTAATTATCCTTCAGGTTCAGTAAGATGTTGAGAAGTCCTTGACTAGTTGAGTGATTTTGCTTTTCAAGGAATGCTTAATGGAGTGATTCAGTGAGAACCTCTCAAACTTGATGTGGGTAGCAGGAAAAGCAACTTACAGTGATTCAGACATTTTTGTGGATGGTAATAAATGCTTAAAAACTAATTTTTCATGTTGTTTTAACGTACTGTGTGTTTGCTGCTTATGCATAAAGTGAATGGGTAAGTTACAGCTGCAGGTATTTTGGTATTTTTTTTTCTCCAGTCATATAATGTGTTTGAACCAGGTATGAGAAGGTGAGAGGTGAAGGGTGCAAACGAAAGATTCTTAATTATGGGGCCTACTTTAAACATGATAACATTCTAATCTATGCAGTCATTTTAATTTGTAATAGAATTTGTATGAGTGAATGAATGAATGAATGAATGAATGAATTTTGTTTAAGGTTACCTGTCGGTGTAGACATGTAAATCATGATAACTTCATTATTGCAGTTGGTCATCATACCTTATGGGGTTCACGGTAGCGTAATTGGTTAAGACACTATGCTACAAGCATGAAGGTCACGGGTTCAAGTCCCAGTGAGGTCATTGGATTTTTTCATTTGACCTAATCCTTCCAGCCACACTATGGCCCTGGGGTCGACTCAGCCTCTAACAGAAATGAGTACCACGCATATTCTTGGGGGTAAAGGGCAGCCAGCGTGTGAGGCTGACAACCTTGCCACCATTTATGAGCCGATTGTCTAGAAAATGTGGGACCTCAACATCTCACAACCCTCTGGGCCTCCACGGCCTGTTACAGGGGTACCTTTACTTTTTACTTTACTTACATCATACTTTGAATATATACCTAATATTGGTACATTTAGGTTTCATTGGTTGAATAGTTGTAATGATTGAACTTGTGGTTTATTTTGGTCCAATATGATATGATGTGATAGTATCCTAAAAGAGACCATGAATGGCTTCAAATACTTCTCATTTCATTATTCACAATCCATGCGCCTACAGTTTACTCCAAATTGTCCACTCAAATGAAGGGTAAAAGACACAGAAGTAACAGAAACACATGGATCATCCAGAATACTTTATGGAGAATGAGAAATATATGCAGTACTCAGTTTGTTTATCTGATTTTATATGGTTAGGTAATGTATCCATCAGCACAACACAGAAAATGGTATGACATATCTCTTAGATTGAATTTTATTGTTTACCGCTACATATTTTTGTCCTCATGGGACCGTCATCAGGCAGTGTTCATAAGAAATATGACAAAATTAATTGAAACCTTAATATGGATCCATATTGTGGTGCAACGCATCCCTATTATAGAAATTGTAAAAGTTATAGAAAATTGTACCTTGTGTTTTAATGAAAATTACAATATAGAGAAATATTAAAGTATTAGAGTGTACAAGAATTTGTATTTAAAATATTAGTGGGGGTAATTAAAGGGTGTTTTATATATATTTATCATATTTATTACGAGGGTCGTACTGAAATTCATGAGCAACAATTTTTTGTAAAGTAACATGCTTTATTAGTGACAAACCAAATACACCACCTCAATCTACAGACCTTTCTTTATTTTTCCACATAGTCACCACTTCTTTGTACACATTTCTCCCAGTGTTCTGGGAGTTTGAAAATTCCCCTTCTGTAAAATTCCATTCCAGCCATCTGAAGACACACACTGCTTTCTGAATTGCCTCCCTTGTCTCAAAACATTGTCCATGCAGCTGATCCTTCACAAATCCGAAAAGATGGTAGTCTGAGGGTGCCAGATCAGGGCTATAGGAGGGGTGTGGAAGAACTTCCCACCCCATCTTTGCAGTTGCTTCCAATGTGAGGCAAGCGTTGTCATGCAGAATGATGACGTTTCGTCCCAGACATTAATGGACGACGGAGCTTGTGCAGCATCTGGACATAACGATCAGCATTGATGGTTTGCCCAGGTTCCAGGAATTCGGCCAGAATAAACCCCTCTGCATCCCAGAAGACTGTGCCCATCACCTTCGCAGGTGGTGGTACTGTCTTTGCCTTCTTTTTTGATGGAGAATGCAAATGGTGCCATTCCATACTCTGCCATTTCATTTCAGGCTCAAAATGGTGAAACCAGCTTTTGTCACCTGTCACAATATAGAGCAAAAAATTATCGCCTTCGTGTCAATATCTCTGCAGCAGTTCTGAGGTGATGGCTTTTCGCTGAACTTTGTGGTCTTCGGTCAATAACCGCAGGGCCCAACGAGCACAAACTTTCCTATAGCCCAAGCTTTCAATCATCTCCTGTACTGCACTGTGCCCTATTCAAAGTTTTCGGGCTATTGTGTCCACAGTCACATGCCTGTCATCTTGAATGATCTCATCCACTCTTTCCTTGTTGCGTTCAGTTGAGGCTGTTTGAGGACGACTGCTTCGAGGCTCATCTTCGATGCTGGTGTTCCCATCTTCAAAATATTTCACCCATCTTCGAACACTGCTCGCACCCATGCACACACTTCCATAAGCACGCTGAAGTCTCTGTTGAATTTCTGCAGCAGGGATTTCCTCTTTCACGAGAAATTCGATGACAGCATGCTGGCAAAATGACATGGTTGTCGGCTATTTTGTTAGGAGTGATACTGGTCACGTGATGCAAGCTATTGACATCACAAGACACTCAAAGTTAACACAACAGCTGGTTCCACCTACCACCATACTCTCTTTCATCTGCTGTTCCCAGGTTGCATGCAAAAGAAGTTGCTCATGACTTTCAGTATGACCTATGTATATACATTGCCTGATGATGGTCCCATGAGGACCAATACATGTAATGGTAAACAATAAAATTCAATCAATGAGATACTGATTTTAACTGTGATACCATTTTCCTTGTTGTGCTGAGGGATACATTACCTAACCTTATAGTTACGACACACAACAGGATGCACACTGTAAGAAAATATATGATTTTGTTTTCCTCCGTAATGTCCGTGTGAGGTATTTTTCACTGTGATAAATATTTAGCAAGTTATGCTCAGGAAACATGTAGAAATGCATATAGATCTTATTTCAATGCAGCCATTATAATTGTCTGATCTAAGTGAATATTGAAGTGACTACACAATTTGATTTTTTTTTTTTTTAAATTTTTTTCTNGTCCATCCAGTGGTTCTTGAGTTGTTTCATGCATACAGAAAGACAAAGAAATGTGCAAATGTATGCACATGGATAAGCTGAGTGACCATAATAGGCACTTTGTAAGGTTGTGAATATACCTAAAAAGGGTGCACAGGTAAGCTGCAAACTGTATATTTCATGCATGTATAGTAAGGAATATTCTATATTCTATAGTATACAACAGGTCTGTACCACGAACACCCAAATGAAAGAAAATTACACTCTTCATAAAACAGTAAAAACACGCCTGATTTTGTGTGCTTTGTCTTTGTACCCTCTGAAACTGTAATTCACTGTTAAAGAGCTCCTAATTTTGTATCTAGTTCCAGCCAGACATTGTGGAATATGATGGGCATCTGTCACTTAATCTTCAGCATTCCTTTGATCATGTCAAAGAACCACAGTTTTTTGACAGAGGAACAGTTGATATTCAGAGCATAAGAACAGGCGCAGTGACATTAAAGCAGAAGCCTCTTTCAGTAGAAGATAAGCAGAAGTTGAAAGTAAGTGATATGCATTTTATTATAACAGGACAATAAAATTTTCAAATTTGGCAGTTTTAGACTAAAACAAAATTGTAAAGGTATATAATGTATAAAATTCTATATTAGAATCTGTCACAACACAACGAAACAGTTATTGTTTAACAATATTTAGCTACATGTTTTGGCCAGAACTACCGAGGGTGAATGAAATAATGGAAACACTAAGAAATTGAATAAAATTTGTGTTGGCTACATTTAAAGAACTTCATTTGGCGACATTGGATGTTTTTCCATTTGTTTACACACTAATGGTCATGTTTTTATGTTAGTTAATGCATTAGTGACAGTCCACATGAAAGAATTGGAAAATGGGAGACTTATCCAATTTTGAAGGAGGACAGCGTTTAGCTGGAGCAGTTGTGACAAAAACTACCACATTATTAGGTGTATTGAGAGTGACAGTTTCTAACGTTATGTTGGCATACATGAATCTTGGGAAGACAACAACTGCAAAGAGGAGCAGTGGACAAAAATCAACACTGACAGAGATCATCGTACCTCAAGAAGGATTGTTTAAAAACATCACAGAACTATTGCAGTGCGGGTGACAGCAGAACTGAATATTCACCTTGAAGGCCCTGTTTCTACAAAAATTGTCTAATAAGAACTCCACAAATCCCACATCCATGGTAGGGCTGCAATTGTTGGACCTCTGGTTACTGAAAGTAATGCTCAGATTCATAAACGATGATGTCACGACCATAAAACCTGGACATCAGACAACTGAAAACGCATGTGTGATATGGTCAGATGAGTCTTCCTTCACTATGTTCCCTATATCAGGAATAATTTACATTTTGAGAACACCCAAAGAAGCCTACAATCTGGAATGCCTGTTTCATTTCCAAGAGTGAAACGTGCGGGAGTTTCGGTAATGATTTGTTTAGCAGTGTCGTAGTACAGTATTCTGTTGGCCCCACTATTACCCTTCATGGCCGAATTACTGCAAAGGATTACATGCAGGTTAGGTAATCAGGTGCATCCCATGATCCAGACATTATTTCTGAACAGCAATGCAGTTTTCTAAGATGACAATACCACCCTTCACACAGCTGGCACTGTTTGGTCATGATTTGAAGTGCATGAAGGTGAACTTTTAACAGTTTCCCTGGCCAGCACAATAACCAGATTTGAACATCATTTAACCACTCTGGTCAGTTTTTAAGACTAGTGTGAGGAGCAGATTCCCACCTGCATCATTTCTAAAGCAACTTGAAGCTGTTCTTTAAGAACAAAGGTATAAAATTCTGCTAGAGGCTGTTCAAAAGTAGTATGAGTCCATTCCAAGAAGGATTGCAGCTGTGTTGAAGACAAAAGTGGTCCAGCACTACAATATAGAAACATGTACAGTATCTGTAGTGTTTCTATTATTTTGTTCAACCTATATATATATACACTGAATGAATAAACAATCAGTATTATGGCTCTTGTGTTCAGTATATCAGTTGCTTAATATATGCTTCAAAGTCACGTTGTAATAAAACACTAAAAGAATAAAATCTTATTTTAATGGAGTCAAACTCAGTAAAGATTTTCTTTTATCAAATTTTATGAAAATCTCTCTGGAAGTTCTCAAAGTGTTACAAGCATATGGACAGGTGTACTGAATCAACTTAATAGGCACTCTGGAGGGGTTGTGGATGCACCTAAAACCGTTTCTGAAACTGATCGGTTTCTTGGAGAAGCAAAGTCATCTTCACTCTTGATTTCTTTCTAAGAACCCTTTTCATATTATGAATTGGTTGCAGTTTTCATTTGTTTCTTCATTATAGTTTTCTTTTGTCATGTGAAACTGATTTGTAGTCATGCAAAACACAGGGTCAGTGAAATATATCTGACTCATTTTTAACTGATGTAAATTAGTCCTTCTGCTGTGATGTTCACCTGAAGTCAACCAAGCATCCATTAATAATCTGTTTCAGAATCTGTCAAGCGTCCAACAGAATGTACTGGCAGTTTTGTTAATCCACAGCCTCGAGACATTAACTGTGTAACTTCATAAGATTGAAATTATGCAGAAATGCTAAGAAAGATAAATAACTTAATACGCAGTTTTGACAGTAGCTCGGAATACTCATATGGTCCTACTGACTGTATATGATCAAGAAACTGAAAAAACGACCAAGGCCCAACAAAGGGCTGTAGAGCCATAATAATTCAATTCAATTCAATTCAGTTCTTTATTATTTATGTGCTGAGCCAACAGCCGTAAAGCAAATTATAGACTCAGCACAGTGTATGATAGAAGTAGTTACATA